GATATAATGAAAACTTGAGAATCCAAAATTTCTCTAATATGAGCTATTGAAATTTAGAGATTTGTGTCCCTTTAATTGAAAAAGGGTGACACACTGACACATTGGCATTTATTATATAGATGTCATAAAAAATAAATAAGGAAGACTATTCTATATTTAGCAGTTGGAGTGTTTATCAAGAAAAACTTTTAAAAAGTCTATATAAATTAAGATTGGGCAAAATGAACAATTTAGATTCAAAATATATTGAACATATTAGAAGATATTATATTAATTCATTTTCGATAGAATAAAAATGTCTTTATACTGAAAATTATTAACATACAATATCCCTACTGAGTGGATACCAACTTAAAATTTAATTAACTTTTAATTTATGGAGAAAGACAAAAATTGCACAGCATTTAAAATATTGAAGTATTAATCTGCAAAATTTCACCTTTTAAGCATGTATAGTAATTAAGTTCTTATAAATGTTATACTCTTCAAATATCCAAAGTAGACATTGTTGTAAATGAAAAAAAGGATATGGTGGTTTCACCTATCCTTATGTTCTGCAATAAGAGGCTGACAAAAATGTGGGTTTGTTAATATTATGACATGTTAACCATTGTTGGAGGTCTTTAATGTTGAAATCAGTCTTTCCACTATTATTTTTAGACTATATTTACTTTAGTTTCTGGATAGAAAAAAAATGTTTATATTTGAGTTTGCAAGCCTACACTTGGTAGGTAGAGTTCCTTTTGAGAGTAGTTTACCCCCTGAAGAGGATGCAGTCAGCATATTCTAGGCGCTACTAATAAGGTAGACAGACAAAAAAAGAAAATTTGGTGAACTATAGTAAGATGAAGAATGACATTTTTGAAAACTGTGTGTGGTTGTTTCTTTGTTAGACTAATACTAAAATAATTTTTAAAAATCTGAGTTCTGGGCTATTGAAGGAAAAAAAATAAGCCTTTGTTGTGGTTTTAAAATAATTTTTTTTCAGGGGTGTAAAACTACAGAAAGCAAATTCACAATTAAGTAAAATTAATAACCAACCAATGAAATTCTCTTATACAACCATATTCACAAAAGTCAACCAATAGAATTTCTTCATACAACTGTATGTTAAAATGAGAAATACTCTAATTTAAAAAATTATTAACAAAATGCTGTTATTTTTATTAGAAAGACTTTGAACATATATTCAGCTGGTGTTAAGTAGAGTACAGCAATAAGTCTTCAGACTAATGATAAGAAAAGTATTTGACATTTTTCAGCAATTTCTTTTTTGTCAAGTTACTAACTTATTGATTTGCTTTCATATTGCATAACAAGTCAATGAAACCTACACCAGATTCAAAATATTGCAAAAAAAAAAATAAATAATTAAAAATAAAGTACCAAACATACAAAAAACAAAAAGAAAAAAGAAAGTGGTATCATAAAAAAAATAGTTATTAAAATATTGCAAAAATCAACTATTAATATCCCTAAACAAAAAAACAAATTAAAATACCATCGTAAAAAAAAACAATCTATGAAAATACCACTATAAAAAACAAAATTCCGCAAAAAACAGCCTATAAAAATATCGCAAAAAAAAAAAAAAAAAAAAAAAAAAAAAAACAACAACAACCTATAAAAATACCACAAAAACCATCTAAAATACTGAGGAAAAAAAAAAAAGAAAAAAGCAACTTATTAAAATATCAATTTATTCAGAAAAATCTTTTCTTTTTCAGCTGCTTTACATTTTGACCTTTCTCAGATGGCTGTCATATTTGGGCCAATGGAATTAATGTATAATACAAACATCACATCTCTGAATTTCAGATAAAAATTAAAACAATATACTAAAACGAACATGTCTACAATTAACTAAAATGAACATGTCTACCACGCTAAAATATTTATGAAACTAGTGACTTTTTCATGACACTGGAAGCAATAATGTATTAAATAAGGAAAGGAAAGTATGATCACTGTAAATTCCAAATATCAAAAATCTCTTCTTTCCTAAGCATCAGCCCTGTTTTCTAAACAATCTTTTCCTTTGAAACAATATCTTTCAGATCTAAGCTTATCAAGGCTGCATAGTTTAAGACAAAAAAAAGAATGAAAAAAAAGAAAGAAAAAAAAAGGTTTAACTGAACAAGTGCGTGTTATTCCAGTGATGTCTTTGAATCTCAACAACAATGACTCATTTAAAAGTTATTTACGGTTAATATTTATTTTTAATGCTTCACTAAATTGGGTGATAGTTCAATGGTTAGTGAACAGGGCCTTTAATCAAAATCAATACAGTTTAATATTGAATCCCATGTTTAATTTTGATGTTTCTGTAGCAAATTAAACCAAATTGGGTTCTTGATACAAGAACTAGTGTCAGAGTTTGTAAAATCTTATATTTCTGCTTGTCCCTTCCTTACTTAGCATGACTGTTATACCCTGCCCCTGCCAATGCCTCATAAATAATGAACTATTCCGTTTTGATGGCATTAAATGATGGAACATTATATGGTTTCAGTGACAAGATGAAACAAAAAAGACAGAGATAGAAGTGTTTAACATCTGTTTCAGTGAAATGAAAAAGTTATCAATTTCAAAAATTTTCATTTGTACCCCCTTACTTAAAATAACAACCAGCTTTCAGATTTATGATTGTTATTGCAATATTTTGTTAAAGTTGTTAAACCCAAAAATGTAACAATGTGATAGTGGAATTTCTATGGATAGTTTATTGTTGTAGAACTTGACATGAGGTTTATTCAAGCATTAACTTAAGAATTAAGATTCAACAGAAAATTTAAATAGGAAAAACCGTGACATTTTCATGGGTATTTCTAGCATACTAATACTAGAGTTAGAATAAGAACTTCCAATATTGCAACAAAATATTTTTATATTAAGTCACAGTTTTTGTTTTCCAAGAAACCTTGGACTGAATTAATTATATACCTGAAGATTGAAACAGGTATGAAATTGTGAGGAAAGCCAAAAAAAAAAAAAAAAAATGCATTGGTCAAAAAATATAGTGATAAAACCAAAGCTGAGAATAAGTTTGAACAACTTGTGGAATGGAACTTTTCAATTCACAACACCAATTTCATTTTTTATAAAGCTTTATAAAATCCACAGTCAACAGCGAAATCAAAAATATATGAACCTTTCTTTATAATTCGAGATGGAAAGCATTGTGTGTGTCAGTCTAATTTATGTATCCTGCAATCCATTAGGGTTATTAGTACACCATGTACTGCAGGTATAGCAGCAGTGGCTATATCTAAGGCAAGGCAACCTGACAGAGAATCATTTTTAAGGCTGGTTTTGAATAGAGTTGTCTTTCTCTTAGACTGATTACTAACTAAAGCTAGAGAACTCAGCAGAATCTGAAACTTAATCCATAGCTGGGGGAAGGGGAAAGATGGATTCATGCCTTCCTGAAGAGTAATTATGCAAAAGTGGAGGTAACCAACTCAGTCGGAATTTGACTTCATTTGTCAATTTCTCTTCCCAAAACTATAGCTACACTCACAGCACATCTATCAGTTTCCAACAAAAGATGCAACATTTATAAGTAATTAATACATATTATAAATGATTCTGACATTAAAACATTAAAAAAAAGACTGTCATTTAGGAGTATTCCTCAAATTTAGACTAGAATATTTTTTTTAATAGTTGAGAGTAAGAGAGAGAGAGAGAAATACAGTAACAGAGTAGAGAGAGAGAGTATGAGAAAACAGTAAGTGTGAATGAGAGAGTATGAGAAAACAGTAAGTGTGAATGAGAGAGTATGAGAAAACAGTAAGTGTGAGAGAGAGAGTATGAGAAAACAGTAAGTGTGAGAAATACAGTAAGAGAGTAGAGAGAGAGAGAGAAATACAGTAAGAGAGAGAGAGAGAAATACAGTAAGAGAGTAACAGGGTGTGAGAGAGAGAAGAGAGTAACAGGGTGTGAGAGAGAGAAGAGAGTAACAGGGTGTGAGAGAGAGAAGAGAGTAACAGGGTGTGAGAGAGAGAAGAGAGTAACAGGGTGTGAGAGGGAGAAGAGAGTAACAGGGTGTGAGAGGGAGAAGAGAGTAACAGGGTGTGAGAGGGAGAGAGAGAGAAGAGTAACAGAGAGAGAGAGAGAAGAGTAACAGTGAGAGAGAGAGAAGAGTAACAGTGAGAGAGAGAGAAGAGTAACAGTGAGAGAGAGAGAAGAGTAACAGTGAGAGAGAGAGAGAGAGAAGAGTAACAGTGAGAGAGAGAGAGAGAGAAGAGTAACAGTGAGAGAGAGAGAGAGAAGAGTAACAGTGAGAGAGAGAGAGAGAAGAGAGAGAGAGAGAGAGAGAGAGAGAGGAGAGAAGAGTATCAGTGAGAGAGAGAAGAGTATCAGTGAGAGAGAGAAGAGTATCAGTGAGAGAGAGAGAGAGAGAAGAGTAGAGAGAGAGAGAGAGAAAGAGTAACAGGAGAGAGAGAGAGAGAGAAGAGTAACAGTGAGAGAGAGAGAGAGAGGAGTAAGAGAGAGAGAGAGAGAAGAGTAACAGGAGAGAGAGAGAGAAGAGTAACAGAGAGAGAGAGAGAAGAGTAACAGTGAGAGAGAGAGAGAGAGAAGAGTAACAGAGAGAGAGAGAGAGAAGAGTAACAGTGAGAGAGAGAGAGAAGAGTAACAGTGAGAGAGAGAGAAGAGTAACAGTGAGAGAGAGAGAGAGAAGAGTAACAGTGAGAGAGAGAGAGAGAAGAGTAACAGTGAGAGAGAGAGAGAAGAGTAACAGTGAGAGAGAGAGAGAGAAGAGTAACAGTGAGAGAGAGAAGAGTATCAGTGAGAGAGAGAAGAGTATCAGTGAGAGAGAGAGAGAGAAGAGTATCAGTGAGAGAGAGAGAGAGAGAAGAGTAACAGAGTGTCAAAGACAGAGAGAGAGAGAGAGAGAGAGAAGAATAACAGAGTGTAAAAGAGAAAAGGAGAACAGTAACAGTGTGTAAGAGAGAGAGGAGAGAAAGGAATATCGACAGGGAGAGGGGAGAGAGAAATTAGAACAATATCAGGGAGAATACTGAAGAAAGAAATGAAAGGGTGACAGCATTAGTGGAAGAATGGAAGAGAAAGGCATCATCAGGGAGAGCACAGTGGAAAGAGTGAGTGGAAAAAGTGTTGAAGACAGTTGGAACACAAAGAAAAAAAAAAGGATAAAATGAAGATAGATTTCCATTTTGGGTCTTCCAAGATGTGTTAAAGTGCACTGAAGATGAGGACACCAGCAATTCACCCAGCTGAAGGTCTCAATTCTCATCCATAACGTAACAGGCATAAGTGCTGCAGCCTTAGCAGTTGCTATTGTTGCAGCAATATCAGCATTATTGGTAGCAGCAGTAGCAGCAGGCAGCACCTTAGCCTTTTGAGGCAACAGCAACACTGACTCTTTCAACTGGAGTCTCACAGAGAACTAATGTCAGTAATAATGCTTTCTGCAGCCCTTTCATGCATTTGCTAATGCATGAGAGGATCACACAAAAAAAAAGAAAAAAAAAGGAGGAAACAGAAAAGAGAGAATGAAGATGAAAGAGAAACTAGATAAAGAGAGAGGGATATTGTACAGAAAAGGTAAGATAGTTTTCATGGAAAGAATGTTGATAAAGATTCAGAAAGAGGGAGGACAAAGATGGAAGAGAGAGAGAGATGGAGAGAGGATATGGTAAAAAAAGGAGAGATGGAAAGAGGACAAGATAAAAATGGAAAGAGGACAGGGAGAGAGGAAAGGGATTGGAAAGAGAGGAAAAGGATTGGAAGGAGAGAGGAAAGGGGTTGGAAGGAGAGAGGAAAGGGGTTGGAAGGAGAGAGGAAAGGGATTGGAAGGAGACACGGGGGGAGAGGACGGGTATTGGAAAGGAGACACGGGGGAGAGGACAGGGGATTGGAAAGGAGACACAGGGGGGGGAGGAGGACAGGGGGGATTGGAAAGGAGACACGGGGGAGAGGACGGGATTGGAAAAGGAGACAGGGGGGGGGAGGGATTGGGGAAAGGAGACACAGGGGAAGAGGACGGGATTGGAAAAGGAGACAAGGGGGGGACAGGTATTGGAAAGGAGACACAGGGGGGACAGGTATTGGAAAGGAGACGGGGGGGGGGGACAGGTATTGGAAAGGAGACACGGGGACAGGTATTGGAAAGGAGACACAGGGGGGGAGAGGACAGGTATTGGAAAGGGGAGACAGGGGGGGGAGAGGACAGGTATTGGAAAGTAGAGACGGTGGGAGAGGACAGGTATTGGAAAGGAGAGACGGTGGGAGAGGACATGGGATGGAAAGGAGAGACGGTGGGAGAGGACATGGGATGGAAAGGAGAGACGGTGGGAGAGGACATGGGATGGCAAAGGAGAGACGGTGGGAGAGGACATGGGATGGAAAGGAGAGACGGTGGGAGAGGACATGGGATGGAAAGGAGAGACGGTGGGAGAGGACATGGGATGGAAAGGAGAGACGGTGGGAGAGGACATGGGATGGAAAGGAGAGACGGTGGGAGAGGACAGAGATAGAAGAGAGAGAAAACAGGTATATAGAGAGCAAGACAGAGTAAGAATATCCAAAGTTTAAGATTAAACATACACATAAGTTCAAATTAAAAGATTGGTTTCAGCAAATTAGTGAAAGTAACAATGTTGTGAGACAAACAAGTTGAAAGCAAGCGATAAGTGGCAACAATTTAGACATTAGAGGCAGATGAACAAAAAGCAAGTTTATTTTTTGCTTTTTTATCAGATGCCATAACCTTGTCACAAGCAATACAGAGAAAACAAGGGTGTTTCATCTTTAACCCTCAAAAGACAAAATGAATTTCTAAAGAACAATCTCTCTAAACTTTGCTATAGATGTAGCTCAGGGTAAACATTGTTCTTTTATTTTGTTTGACAAAACAGTTCTTCTATTGCTTCCTCTCAGACCTTAAGAGATTTCACTTGTAAGATCCCTGGAGTCTTGACTGAATATGCTAGTGCAATTGACATATCTCAAAAGCTGCTGAAGATCAAGTATTACAAATTGATTTTATATGAAAGCTGGTTGGTTGAGTGATTGATTGATTTTGTTTAGTGGCATATCAACCTCTATCTAAATATTTTGTATATATTTTTATAGTTTCAACTACAGATATTTTGTACATAATTTTATATTTTCAGAGTAAATATGTTTTTTTTAGATATATAGTTTGTAGATCACAAAATGTATTGTTAGTAATTTTATTATAAAAATATTTTTTTAGTGTTGCATTGTCATTTTGCTATAAAAATGTATTATTACTCATTTTATTATAAAAATGTACTGTTTTTTGTTTGGGGGTGGGTTCACTATTTGCTCATAGCTGGGACCCTAACAGGTGCTACCACCCTGAGTCTAGGTGAACCTGGAAACAACAGTAGTTAAGAGGTGGTCCCACGCTCCTCAAAACTTTCAATCGCCAATTCAGAGGTATTGCTGCTAGATGTAGTATATTGTTATACCCAGGATGATTATATAAAAGTAAATTGATTTCTCTTTCAAATGATATCATATTTATACACCTTCGTATTACTTGTTATGAGATATGGGTTTGGAAATATACAACTTTTACAAAGTTGCTGATTTTCAGTGCCTCTAGTTGGTCCCGTGATGGATATTAGCATTTTGTACTTGAAATACAGTGCTCATCAATTGCAAGTGATAGGATTAAATGGAAAGACAATCTCTTGTCTTGATAGTAAGTCTGATCAGATCAATAGGGTCAAATTGGCAGCTGATCTTTAAAAAAAAAAAAAAAAAAAAAAAAAAAAACCTAGTCTGTTAACTGTCGCAAAAGATGACATGTTAATTTTAATGCCTCCAAAAGAAAACTGCTCCCAATCATTTGAAAGACAACTTTCTGCCTTTCATCAGCATGGCTGATGCTATCCTTCAGGACAGCGACTCTTTACACCATATCAGGCTAACATTCTTGGCTGACATGAAGTGGAAAGTATAGTAAAGAAAACAGCGACTTACCACATCAAACCAAGCGACAACACGTCACGTGTATCCTACGATGGAAAAATTGGTGAAAAAGAAAATTACTTACCAAAAAAAGAGGCACGTATTCCGCAGGACATACTGAAGACGGAATATTTAAATTAAAAAAACAAGTCCGTTGCAGGAGTCATTATAAAAGTATTTTGATATGCAAAAATTGAACGTCTTCTCCCAGCTGTTGACAAATGGAAAAAATGCTCGGCCAATAAAATCAGTTGGCGTTCTTGAATCGAAGAGAAGTCAGGTATTTTGGCTACTGTATTTGTTGGAGAGTGAGTTATTATTCTGACTGGTTGCATGCATTGTGATTTGTGAGATAGTACCTGCAAATCGAGTTTTCGGCATTTCTTTCTGCCCCCGATGTTCGCGTCTGAACTTAGTGATTTATTCTCTGCGTTGTGGAAATAATCTGCGACAAATATTTCCTTTGCATTCCAGATCGCTTAGACTATATTAAATCCATTGCTAGGTCTGCTGCCAAAAAAAGTTGGTTCACTGTCTCATGCTAGACAATTTTTCTCTCCTGAATATCTTCCATATCTGTAAGTCTACCATTAGTCCATGCCTTGAACAGTGCTGCCACATATGGTCCAGTGTTCCTGCTGTACATTTAGAGATTCTTGATGAAATCCAAAATACGAATCAGCAATGTTATTACTCCTGACCTGGCATCTCTGTTTATCACTTTCCTACTGCCATAATATAGTTTCCCTGTGCCTTTTCTATAAATACTTTCATGGTAATTGTTCAGACGAACTATTTACCAGAGTATGAATTTAAGTGTAGGTCCCATCAGTTTACAGTTGAATTGGCTAAATGTAACTAAGTTCTATGCTAAGTCTCTTTTTCAAAAATTTAAATGCAATGCCAATCATTATCTACTATCTTCCTAATTATTCTTCTATTGTTCTTGCTCCTTAATAATACTTCTGTTTTTTAATTCTCTCACACCCAGTTTACATGGGATGAATTTGATTAAACAAAAAAAAAATAAAAATAAAACAAATGTAGTAAACCCTATGAAACAATATTTTAAATTTTCCAAGCCTTCTTTCCTCATTATGTGCCCTAGAAATTTTTACTCTCTTCCTGATGCTGATTATCAGTGACCTTTTTGTTTCTGTTTTCTCTAAAACCTCATTGTTGCTCACATGTTTGGTCCATGGTATTCTCAGCATCCTTCTGTAGAATCAAATTTCTCTTGCTTCAATTCATCTATGAGGAGATGATCCAGTATTCACTGCCATATAGAAGGATTAATATTACATCACGATTCAGTACTCTTTTCCCTTTTTTTTTTCTAACAAAATTTTCCTGTTTCTTAATACATTGCTTCAATTACTGTATAGTAATGTATAAATCCAATTTCATGATTAATTAAAATTCTAAAAATAGCTTTTTAAAGCAACAAAAATTGCTGAAGGAGTTTTCAGTAATAGTCTCAAAAGAAAAACCATTCTTTTAACACTATTTTTATGGATATGTTTATTAAACTTTGACAGATTTCTTTAAAGGTATTTATCAGACTTAATATATTTTTTCAGGACCTTGAAATTTAAAATCAACCATATCTTTCTTTCAGTTGTCAGCCATTTAAGCCTAAAGAGAAATAAAATAAATGTTTTTTTTTTCAATTATAATAATAAAAAGTTTATTTTATTCTTATTTTAGCCCATGTGCACACAAATATCTTCCAAAGCAAATTTGAATTTATATAAGACATCTGAGAAGTTGCGGCATAAATGATTGGCTAGAAATGATGTCATCACAAATTTCATTAGTTATCAATATAATCATCTGATTGATTAGTTAAAAAAATGATCTCTAATCAATATCAGAACCATAGTTCAATTCCAAGAATAGGAGGATGCTGTTTAAATGTTCCAATAACAAAAGCAACCTTTAATTCACTCAAGGAGAGAAAACCCCAAGCTGTAAGTCAAAATGTTATTTGCAAAATAGTGTATTTGAAAAAAAAATATCTATAGCATATTTAATATTTACTTGACAATATAAAATAGACTATTTGTAAGAGTACAAGATCTGCAAGGTAAAAGGGTTAAGTTTTTATTTTCAGTAACTAATTGGTAATACTAATTTCTACAATAATTAGTATACTTATAATTTCTAATAGTCATTACTCCAGATTAATCCAACAAAAATTTTGGCAATTGTTTAACCATCATATACACAAAAAAAAAGATGGTGCCAAAAGATGGTTATTCCCCTCATGCCACAATTACACAATTTTTGATTATTCCCTTGTAATGTTTGTTTTAAAAAGCAATGACTAGTGCCTTTCTTCCTTATTTTCATTATTTCGTTTTCACCAGATTCTTTCTTCTATTCATTCTTTCTTTCTTCCATATTTTGAAGATTTTTTCACAAGATTCTTTCTTTCTTATTTTCACTATTTCTTTTTCATTCATTCTTTCTTCCATATTTTCACCAGATTCTTTCTTTTTTTCATTCTTTCTTACATATTTTCAAGATTTTTTTCACCAGATTCTTTTTCATTGATTCTTTCTTATTTTCACAATTTCTTTTTCACTAGATTCTTTCTTTCATTCATTCTTTCTTATTTTCACAATTTCTTTTTCACTAGATTCTTTCTTTCATTCATTCTTTCTTATTTTCAAAATTTCTTTTTCACTAGATTCTTTCTTTCATTCTTTCTTATTTTCAAAATTTCTTTTTCACTAGATTCTTTCTTTCATTCATTCTTATTTTCACAAGGTTCTTTCTTTCATTCATTCTTTCTTATTTTCACAATTTCTTTTTCACTAGATTCTTTCTTTCATTCATTCTTTCTTATTTTCAAAATTTCTTTTTCACTAGATTCTTTCTTTCATTCATTCTTTCTTATTTTCAAAATTTCTTTTTCACTAGATTCTTTCTTTCATTCATTCTTTCTTATTTTCAAAATTTCTTTTTCACTAGATTCTTTCTTTTTGGTCAACTTTTCTTTCACTTTTTCACTTCTTTCTTCATCCTATTTCTTTTTCACCAGATTTGTTATTCTTTCTTTACATGTCATCCTTTTTTCACTCCTATTTCTTATTCATTGGCCTTTTCCTCTCTTTTTTTTTTTTTTTTTTCTTTCATTTATATTGCGTTCAGATCTGTTCATTTGTCATAGTGCCTATCTTCACTTCTTTTTCACCAGCTTCCTCCTTTTTTCTTCTTCTCCAGATTAATCCAATAGAAATTTTTATTCTCATTTATAACAAATTATTTTCTCTTCAGTTGTCTTATACAAGTAAAATACTTAATAATCATAGTTAATCAATGATGCACACCTGAGTAATCCAGAGACAAATTAAGAGAATATATATATATTTTTAAGTACAATCTCCAGCAAGAAAACTTATCCATGAGTAAAAAAAAAAAAAAAAAGGTCACCTGACATGGTACTGTAAACAAACAAAAATATAAAACCACACCAAAAGACCACAATTTAATACAATCTAGGTCAAAGGGATCAATTTTTTCTCCAATCTAAACTAACAAAAAAACTGAAGTATTAAACATAAGATAACACTGTATAGCTATCAACAAAAGAGACAA